AAATGCTCTTTTTTTTGGCATGAAATTCAACATTTTTAAGCGTAAAAATATCTATGATGTTAATATCTTCAGCAAATTTGGTATATGAAGTTTTGAAGCTTGCTGTCAATACAAAAAAAATAACATACATATCAAATCGCATATGTATCAACATATGTGTAACTCCACCTATTGAAAAAATCCGCATTACCTGGTACACCTAGTATGCACAAACACTGGTGCAGATTATATTTCTTAATGACAAGTGAAATGAAAGTTAATAACAAAAAGCTAAATTTTTTAAATCTTCATATACTTTAAAGATTATAAACACTTTTAAAGAACTAAGTAATCAAACTATCATAAATGTAAACTTTAAAATCCATAGAAGTAGCCTAACTGGTTTGGTTCAGTGGATAGAGCATCAGCCTGTGGACTGAAGAGTAGCAGTTCAATCCCATCAGAGGCGTTTACCTCGGTTGGGGGCTCGATCCCCAACCCCAGTCGGGCACTTGCGGGAGGCAACCAATTGATGTGTCTCTCTCACATAGACATTTCTTTCTCACTGTCTTTCTCCCTCCCTCTAAAAAATCAATTGAAAAATATCCTCAGGTCAGGATTAACAAAAACAAACAAAAAATTAAAAAATAAATAAATACAAATCCATAAAGGTAAGTGATAGTGAAATACTAACATACCAAATATTTAAAGATGCAGTGACAGCAGAATTGCAAGGAAAAATTTTAGCCATTTCATTTTAAGATATTCATAAGATATTCTTAAAATTAATAAATTAAGTTCTTTACTTAGAAATTAATAAAATAAAAATAGAATAAATTTAAATAAAAAAGAAGGAAATAATAAAAGCAATTTTTTAAAAATAAAAAGTAAAGACACAATGGGGATAATCAACAAAGTCAAAATTCAGTTCTTTGGAAAGAGTAACATACTAGACAACTTCTGGTAAAATCTCATGAAAAAAGAGGAAAGAAGACACAAATAGTATTTGAATGCAAAAGAAGACATAACTATAGAAACAAGAAAAAATACTAACTTTATGCCAATATAGTTAAATACTTAATAAAATGGATATATTACTTTCTTTTTTTAATATATTTTTATTGATTTTAAAGAGGAAGGAAGAAGAAGAAAGAGATAGAAACATCAATGATGAGAGGGAATCATTGCTTGCCTTCCTCCTGCACATTGGACTGAGCCCGCAACCCAGGCAGGTGCCGTTGACCGGAATTGAACCTGGGACCCAATTGGTCCACAGGCCAACAGTGTATCCACTGAGTCAGGGCAAAATTGATATATTTCTTAAAAATATAATTTACCAACTTACAAAAGAAATAATGGCCTATGAAGTTCCATAAATGCTTTTTTTAAATTAAAACTGTAGCTACAGTGAGCTGACCGGTTGGATAAACTCCCAAGCCCCACCTCCCCTGAAAAATTTAAAGTAAAATAGAAAAAAAAAAAAAATCCAAACAAAGCTACAACTAAACAGCATGTTAACACCACAAACTCCAAAATAAAACAACTCATGTGGTATCAGTGTGCCCAACAAGAAGCAAAGGTAAAGCAAAAGAACTTTGAGAAGTCCAGAAATTGAACTGCCAGCAGGCATTCATTCACCCTTCAGTAGGCAGATCTGAGATACCTGTGAGAGCTCCTGGGTAAGAGCAAGGAACACAACAGTCAGGTGTTGCTGGGGCAATATGGGCCATAGGAACTTTGAAAGTAGCCAACCAAAGCTCTCTTTCAGGACAAAAACCTACCAAAGAGAATATTTTATGCTGAATCTAAATTGAGCAAGACAAAGACAAAGTGGCTAAGAAAAGGAATGGTACAGATAAAAATGGGAAGGAAACACATCTCAGAAAGGTCATATTTTTGACACTTCTGAACATGCACAGAAGAGGGAGCCCTAGAGCCATGAAGCTAGAAGTTTCTCCAGCCCACACTTCTACTTGAGTAACAGAAAAGTCAGTCCAATTCTGAACAAAGTTATGTAACAAAGCTATGTAAAAGTCTCCCTTTGAAGACTAGAAAAAACAATTATTGAATCAGGGTATTTATTAAGTAGTAACAATTTATTGTAGTATAAGGTCAAATGACACATGAGAAACTGAGGTGACATGTTGTGTGGAGCTTATTAGTATCCATTGTTCTCAAGTCTTGGCAAAAAAAACCCACATATATATATGTATATATATATATATATATATATATATATATATATATATATATATGTATATATACACACACACACACACACACACACACACACACACATATACACATACATATACATACATAATCTATATGTATAACATATATACTATATATTATAGGATATATATACATGTATGCATATATATACATACATATATATATCCTATAATATATAGTATATATGATATACATATAGATTATATATATGTATATATGCTACCATAATATACATAAAACTCAAAGATGTGGAATTTTTGCTTCATGTTGTCTTATAATGAAAATAAATTTTCTGCTTTTTCTCCTCCACCCCAGAGCCTGAAGGCCACATTGGCTAGTTTGTCAACACATGACTACTTCTATGGCGATGAAGAGAATGACTAGCTCCGTTCCTATTTTCATGAAGTTTATGGAGAAGTGGGAGAGGCTCTCAATGAAATATCACAAATGTGATCAGTGTGATGAATAAATGGTCCAGGTAGCTATATTTCTGATAGTCTGAGAAGTCAATGGTTGGTGGTGGTTGCCTTGGGGACATTTAAAATAAGACCTAAAGAATGAGAGAGGATTAGGCGGGTGAACAGTGGCTGGTAGGGTGGGCTAGGACGATTGAATGTGGGGAATACATAAAAGCACAGACCCTGTGATGGGAGGTCCTGTAAACAGTACAAGGAATGGACAGAGGGTGTGTGGCTACAGAGAAGAGGTCCATTGAGAGAATAAACCAAACAGATCACCAAGGTTTGGACCATGTGGGGTTTTTAGCCATGGTCCAGTGAGTCACTCTCTCCCAAGGGAAACATTTGACTATAGAGAGATTTACACCGGACAATGGCAACAGCTGAACATTTTAATTGTCTTGGGTGCTATATCTCGGAGGAGCATAGTCCAGGAATTCTTGTTCCAACCAGAGTCTGGGTCTCACTTTGAGGGAAAGTACCCAATAGCTATGAGAAGAAAGAAAGCACACAGGTGACAAGCTAACCTAGCTCTGTGACTCTGAGCAAGTCATGTCCCCTTTCAGAACCCCACCTCCTCCTCTAGCCACCAAGAATTTGGGCCCAACACTTTGTAGGAATTTGTTGAATCTTTGGAGATAAATAGACTCACTTTCCAGCCATGAGCTTTGTCTAGAGGGGAGCTATTATTTTTCCCCTGTAAAAGATCTCTTGAAATACAAGAACATCATTTAAAAGTGAGATCTTTGTGTAGGTGGATATGTTCCAGTATTAGATGAGAAGGGGAATAAAACCACATCCATTTAAAATCTGAAAGAGGACCAGGGAGGATAGAACCCTCTTGGTCTAATGACAGGACTAAATTGGGCTCTGTTTCAAGTTGCCATTGAGTTTCTGAGTTCTTTAGAAGGAAGATAAAACAACCTCAAAAAAGAATGATGTGTATAACGGATTAATTTCCAGAGCATTCACAGGTGCCATTTATGTTGCAAGTCTTCCTTCCTGAATTGTGTTCAATTTTCAATGGAGGGGTTATGTTAAAGCAAATAGATGAACCTGGTTTTTGAGCCTGAGTCTGAGATACAACTGTTAAATTGGCTTAGCGGAGAAATCTAAGAGGATGAGGTCAGAGGAATGGGATGGAAAACATACACATGGTGCAACTTCTTCACTCAGTTAGGCAACCAGCTCTCTGGAAAAGGACTACTAAGCCAAGACATTCTTCAAGACTGAGGCTGACCAGAAATGCCTTTTAGTCCACGGGGAGTTATCCTGTTATTCTTTCGGAGTTTGAGAAGGCTTATCAGGAGCTAGGCACACATACACATAACCTTATTCCCTGTCTCTTCTCCCCAATTTTCTCCGGGGAGTATTTCTGAATATTAGAAACATGGAAAAGAATGACAGATTCTCCTTTTCTCTCTCCTCATGTAGGGATTTCACAATTGAACTACAGGGCCCTGTAGAATTCTTTCTCTCTCAGTGATCAACAAGAGGCAAATATGAGTGCTTCAACCTCAACAAGTGGTCTGAGTTGAATCTACCAGAGAAAAGGTGATTGAAACCCTCTACTTTAGGCCTAAAAAAAGAGAGAGGAGAAGAGTGCAAATTGGTTTGCCTCAGTGGGTAGAGCATTGGTCTGGGGATTGAAGGGCCTGGGGTTCGATTCCAGCCAAGGACGAGGGAGAGAGGGAGGGAGGGAGGGAGGGAGGGAGGGAGGGAGGGAGGAGGGAGGGAGGGAGGGAGGAAGATGAGGGGGAAAGGAAGTATTCTTCACTGCAGTATGTGACATGATATAATTTGAAGACATTAAAGTTAGGTAAAGCTCCAGCCTGAGGAATAGAGAACAGGATGTCCTCAAAGGAGATCAGAAAGGATCAAAGCAGTTGGTCCCCTAAGGAGAATGAATGCAAATAAAGATGCGGGAAGGTGATGGAGAAGAGGTACTGGTAAACGTCCTGAGCAACAGCTTTATCCAGGGCCAATGCTGTAGACACACAGCATTTTAAAACAGCATTAATCCTATTGTCAAGACCCTCTCACAGAGTAAAAATAGTACCGATGGTGGCCTTTCAAAGTTACATCCTTTCATCTACTCTCTATGGTTGTTTTATATAGTCAGGAAGATTCTGAATAGGGCTTTATTTTAGCTTTGCTCTCATTAAGGTCTCATAAACTCAATTACTTAATATTCCTTAAGAATTATAGCTTGAAATAATAATTTTCTAATTTTTCATTAGAAAAATTTAGCAGTGTTCATTCTAGCTTTTTTTTTTTTTTTTTTTTTTTTTTTTTTTTTTTTTTTTTTTTTTTTTAGATTTAAAAGCATTTAATGACATAGCATATATTTAACAGAGAGGGCAAAAGTTGAGAGGTCCAGGTCATACGACTGAGCACCGGGCCCGAGTGACCGCCTCCCTGCTCAGGCCCGGCCTCTGGAGTTCATTCCTATCGATGCCATTGTGATTGTGCAGTAGGATGAAAATTTGTCATTACAACCGTTACAGTGACAGAGAAATGCACACTATGTATCAAAGAGCAAGGTAATGAAGCAAATTATAACACAGTGTGGCCACGCACGAGCAGGTAACCATTAGAGTAACGTTACTTTGTCCAGTAAATGCTTCAGTTCCACTTGTACACTTACCAATGATTTAAAGGGTTTATTATACATCTAGTTTTATTATACTTTGTACTAGAATTATCTCAAACATACAATATAATGTATTTCAGCAAAAAAAAAAAAAAAAATTGAAATTACAGATTATTTAAAACAGTATCAGTTTTCTATTCCTTTCTTGGATACCGACATTCTTGACCGTCGTCACAGGTGATGCAGAAAAGCCGCATGTCGTGGGTTAGTAAGTGCTGCCGGATACGCACGGTTTGGTCTGTAGAGTTAGCATGGAGCTGCACTAAGGCTGCAGCGAGATCCTAGGACACGATCTGCCTAAATCAGCATCAGTCCCATTGCGGGCACTTCTAATAGTCAAAACTCAAGGTAACCACGGGAGTGAATGGCAGAGAATGGTGTCAGGACATTGGTACATTGTGTCTCTGGAGAGCACAGGAAATATTGTTTTAAGCACCGCTGCCTTGCATACCAACAGCACTAGAGGCGAGTTATTCCCAACACAGCCTCACAAAATTGAGGAACAGTTTAAATATTGAGATCTAATCTATATAATTTCATTAAAAAAATCTGGTCTTCCCTCTGCACCTCAAACTTTTGTAACTTGGAGATAAAGTATTTAGGTGTATTTCCCCCCGGACCCACCCCCAGAAATGCTCTATAAATTAGAAAAAAAAAAATCAACCACATTGAGGAACATTAGGCACAGAGAGTAATGTGTTGGTTCTGAGCTTGCATGCTGGAATTTCACTGAAAAGGTAAGAGAAGGGCAGGAGGTGAAGGGAAGGAGTTCACTTCTTTTTGCCAAAAAGGCTGAACCGCTTCTCTTTGTCTTTCTCTTTGTCCTTCTCCCGTTTGCCGGGACTGGACTCGCTGGTGATGGTGACGACACTGGTGGGCAAGGTCTGCGCCCGACTGGATGCTGGCGTGCCCTGGGTGCTGTTGGACACCTCGTGCTTATCAGCGGAGATGGCAGAGGAGATGGCCTGGATCCATGTGTTCATTTCCTCATCGTCTTTGGCTTGGAAGAGGTACTCATTTCCATCATTTAGTCTGAGCTTGAACACGTGTTTCTTCTTCTTGTAATCGAGGGCCACCTCACAGATGGCCTCTTTCAGACTCACGGGGACCTCGCTGTGGTAGGGAATTCCGGAAGCAGCTGTCTTTGCATCTTTGTAGAAACCCATTTCTTGGTTATTTATGACACAATAAACATTGTGCCAGGACCTGCTGGAGGCTTTCTTGTTGTGGGCCTCCCACTCGTGCTTCCGGTTCAGAAAGCCTTCCATCTGGGCCGAAGGCATCTCCTGGGTTCTGGCCGGCAGGGTGGCGGCACTCTGGGCCGGGAGGGCAGTCTTGGCTTTGCGATCGGAGGTGGGGGAGGGGATGGGGCTGGACTCTTTGGAACTCGTCCTCTGTTCTGCGGCGACATTGACCATGTCGCTCGTGTCCGCCGTGTCTGCCATCCGTGGAGATCCCTGTTCAGCCGGCAAACCATTCTGGGAAACCTGCTCTCCTTTCGAAGTATCCCACTGCTGCTGGGACTCGGTGTCCTCAGAAACCTTTGTGCTCGGCTCGGGCGAGGGCGGCCGCCTTTTCCTCTCCTCTTCCTCTTGCTGCCTGCGCACCTCCAGTAGCTCCAACGTCGTCAGCCTCTCCAGGGCGGAGAACCTCTCATCCCAGGTCGCTGCAGACTTTTCGAAAGCCTCGTGGCGCTTGATGAGCTTCTCCACCTCGTCCACGCTCTGGCCAATTTCCCGGCTGGATAGGTATGGCTCCTGTCCGAGCAGCCAGGCCTCGGCCACACTGGCGTCCCTCGAGAACTGATGGACTTCCAGAATCAGTCTTAACCACTCCCATTGGTCTTCCCACTTGTCAATCATTTCTTTCCTCTTCTCCGTCAACTGCAGTAACTTTTCCTTGATCTCCTCAGATGCATAGTGCTTTCTTGCCAACAGGGATTTCCCAAGTTCAATGCAGGTTGTGAAACTGTCGTTACGAGCATCAATTTCAGCTTTGATACCTTGATGATTATTCATCAATAGTTCAACAGATGACACATCCCTGGGCTTCTCCTGGGCCTCGATCTGCCGGATGACATCCTCCATCCACAGCATGAGGTCCCGCACCATGCTGAAGAAGCGGAACTTGTCCCCCGTGTCCACCAGCCGCACCCGGCGGCCCTCACAGGAGTCCAGCAGGGCCTTCCAGGCCTCCAGGACCTCGTTCTCCCGCTTCTGGATGTCATCGGCCTTGTCACCCGCGTAGGCTGCCTGGAGGCGGGCCGCGTCCTCCTGCAGCTGCCTCACCTGAGTGCCCAGGGCCTGGATGTCGTGCTCGAACGTGGTATGCATTCTCTGCAAGGTCTCCACCGTGTTCTGGTCTCTCCCCAGCTCCTCGGGGAGTTTCTTGTGCTTGTCCTGTATGCGCCATTCTAGCTATCTTGAATAGATTCTTATTCTAAAGTTGCTGAATGTTTTAATTGTCCTTTTATTATGATACATGTTGTATGATGTTTTGCACATCAGAGGAGATGCGCATACAGATACTTTGAATACAATAGATCACTATACAATATACAGAATATTTTCCTTGGACTTATTCTGTCTTTTCAATAATGATATTAGGCATGTTGTATGTAATCAGCTAGATCTGTCACTTCTAATTCCTTTCTGTTTTTGTGTATTTCTTTAATTCTCACTTAAGGATATATTTTCTATTGCTTTTTCAGAAAGAGTGGGAGGGAGGAAGAGAGAAACATCGATGTGAGAGAGACACATCCAACTGGGGCCAGGGGTTGAGTGGCAACCCAGGAGGGCTGATGCTCACTGAGTACCAGTCAGGACTTTTTTGTTTGTTTTCATTTAACTCTTTAGGGAGAATTGGTTTTTCTGCTACCCTGGTGAGCCCAAAGCTGAGACACTTCTCATGTATGCCTGAGGCCTGGTTCTGCCTTCTTCCCCAGGAGGGGATATAGACTCAAAGTGAAGTGTGGGTCAAGAACCAGTAGGACCAAAGTTTGTAAACACTTTTTTCAACCAGAGGAACATGAAGAGTTTGAGCAAGCTCTTTCTGAGTATGGATATAAGCTCAAACATGAAATAATGGGAACAAGAGAAATAGAGCTTATTTTAATCTTATATCACACTTTGCAGATTCACTGGCAGATAAGCTTCCCTAATTAGACTTAGGGGCCAAGAACCTACACTAAATATGCTGCATCTATTCCCCTTCAATATGGCCTCCTCGCTCCTGATAACTTTCTACATCCTTGGCTAAATAATCAGGAACTTAATCTCACCTTATCTTATCTGCTTGCATATTTTAGTCTTCCTGCTAATTCTGAGCCCAACTGAAAAACCCTTCTATTTACACACTCCAGTGCCTTTTCACAATTTCCCAGTAAGCAGTGGTTTTACATTCATTGAAGACAATCGAACTTGGGAATATTTTTTCAACATACAAATGATTCTAAGTAACAAAATGAAGAAAGTAGAATTAGGTTACATTTGCTAAAAATTATCATATAGGATAATGTTTAAAATACATAACTGCCATCAAATTTAAGTTCGCCGATGAGATTGCTACCCTAATGGCTCTCTTTAGATGTCCTAGCCTTCATCTACAGAAACAAGACTTCCTCGACAGTACACATATCTGCTAGTTAATTGATATTGTTGTAAACAACCTGGGTTATTAATGATCAGGGAAGGAGCAAAGGGAAGGCAAATATTATAGGCAAGATTGGGTGACATAGGGAAGGTATTTTCCTGTCAGTTACACCTGGGAACAGGACCACTGCAAACCAGGAAGATTTGAGATACATAAGCGCCTAAACAAAGGAGTTCTCCCTCTTGGTTCTCGCTCCAGGCTGCAGGACTCTTACACTCCTGTATTCACCCACATGGCCCACAGCCATGTGGACTTCACACAATGGACTGATGGACTAGAACTAGCCTGATGCTGTGCTGGACCCAGCTCCACCATGGAACGGAAACTCTGGGCACTGGCTTTGCTTCTAGCTCTGCTAAGCCCCTAGCTACACCACTTCCGGGACTGGCTTAAGGGAAATGGGACTTCAGAAATGCAGGGATGTAATTCCATGCAAATAAAGATCACTTATCCTCCCATATGAACCTTAGAAAATTCTTTTTCTCAAGATATTATGAGGACCCAACCCCTTAATATTCAGTGGGAAAAGGGATCCCCCACTTCCACCAGGGAACACCCCACTTCCACCGATAGCAAATGGTATCTATTATGTCCACAGAACTCTTTGCTAGTTGGTAAAGATATTAATGAAGGATACAAAGAAACTTTCTTAATTGTAATTACTAGACAATATACTTAGATTCTCAATATGAAATCTAATAAAACACCATGAAAATAAGAACATGCCATCGGCACACATCAAAAATTATTAAAAAGAGGGACAGGAATGGGGAAACTCAGAGAAGCAAATAGGGTATTCAATGCTGTATACAAAATTAACCACCTTATTATTTCAATCACTTAATGCAAGATTGATTTCTTCCTCAGCTCACAATCCAATGTGGGTTGGCAAGAGATTTTGCTCTTCGCAAATTCAAGCATCCAGGCTCCAGGGGCACCAGGAAAGAGAAAAGAAAACTCATAGAGAAAGCACACCTGCTATTTATGCTGTGGTTTGCGCATTAACACTGGTTAAGCTGATCAAACGCTCTGCAGTACACTTAGCCCAGGAAGAGGAAACTGACCGGTGAACATTACCAATCTCTGCCATACCCATCATCCATTCTAATGAATACATTTTTTAAGTCAAAATAACTTCATGACATTAAACAAAATATTAATTTGAAAATTTTGCTTTGAGGGCAACTAAAAGAAAAATGTAGGCAGTTATGGACACAGTATGAAGCATTTTGTTTTCCATTTTCTGGTGATTTCCAATAAAACTATAGTTAATTATATTTGATGTTGTAAAAGAAAAGATTGTATTTTAGAGGTGCTCTGTAAGAAGTGAACTTTAGCATTTTTATGAAAGGTTAAATAAAAATGTGCTATTCAATAAAAAATAGCAGGTACATATCCTGATAACAGTAGTTCAACATTTAAATACTAAATTAGATGATCAAACTTGAACAGCCAACATTTTAATAACTGTCTCCCCCAATGTATCTCAAATGTACTCTATTAGCAAACACAACAGTCCAATTATTTCCATGGTGCTTAGCATTTCATGATGGCCTATTGCCAATAGAAGATTATAGGGTGGGAAACATGCCAAAGAAATTAACTGATTTTAAAGGCTAAAATATTGCTAGTGCTGTAAATTTAGGTTTATATGAAGCTAACGACCTTGACCCTGTTTAAACTCATCTGATAAGTAAATATATTGGCACCGACTTAAGTAATAACTCTCTTACTATCCTGCCAAAGAAAAGTAGATGTCAATTTTGTTACAAAGAACATTAGTAAAATTCTATGTCACATAAAAGTAAATATTAATTTATCACTTGAAAATAGAAAACAATTTAAAAATGCACTGATAGCCCATGGTACATCAATCTGGTCTACATCACTAAATCTAGAATATGAAAAATTAACCTATTAAAACAGAAAGAAAACAAAGAAAAATTGGACAACCTACAAAAATTTGTCTAACATTGGATTGTTCAGGACTTTTATTTCTTTTCTGTTATATTTAACTAGCAAGGAAAACATGAGTAGAAAATATAATCTGTTACTCCCACAAAAATCTGAATGAGGGAAAAGATTAGAACCATAGGTAACCAAGTGCCTGATCCACAGTAGGAATTTAATTAAGGCATATTGAGTGACTAAATGAATAAATCAATAATAGAGTTGAAAGAGGATTGAATTTAAAGGTTCCAGGCCATGCTAACACCAACTAGCCACACAATGGCAAATAGGTATAACTGACTGAATGTCTAGAAGAGCAAATTAGAGCACCCCATAATTTAATAATCATAAATTCAAGTAGAATTCTGTTGGGAAGTTAACATGAATTTATGAGACTTACTCTACCTTCCCATATTCTTTGGCATGAGAAGGCATAACTATAAAGATTACATTTTTAAAAAAATATATTTCATTGATTTTTTACAGAGGGGGAGAGAGAGAGGGGTATAGAGTCAGAAACATCAATGAGAGAGAAACATCAATTCAGCTGCCTCCTGCACACTCCCTACTGGGGATGTGCCCGTAACCAAGGTACATGCCCTTGACTGGAATCGAACCTGGGACCTTTCAGTCCGCAGTCCGACACTCTATCCACTGAGCCAAACCAGTTAGGGCTAAAGATTAAATTTTGAAAACAGATATTCAAAGTTTTATATATGTGCACTTAAATTTTCATTAATTTGTATACATTGTATAATAAAAATAGTTTATTACAATTCTGTACAATATATGAGGTCCCTTCACAAATTAAAAATAAATTTGTCCTACAGACTTATAAATAATTGAAAACAAAACTGAGAGGCAAGAGAGGACTGTATTTATTTCTATTCTAAAGAGTATTCTTAAAATAAAGATAGGTGCAAAAATAATTCAGTGTTAGCAATACAATAGCTAACATGTGAATAGCTACTGTTGGCATTTATTCACCAAATTGCTCATTGTTTATGTCACTGTTCATAAGATATTTATCAAACGAAAATCAAAGCTTTCTGGCTCCAGTTGAAGTAACTTTTCCAAATTGTAATTGTTATTATCTAGATCTTACTTCACTTTCCAGTCAAAATCACCAATGGATATTACAAAATTAAGTTACAGTTTCTTCTCCACTAACATTTCTAATTACCATGTAAGAAATTTTTAAAAAGAAATAAAGCTGTAACTTTCTTAGGACTAATAACAATACTCAGGAACAGAATGGAAGGGAATGAACCCATAAACATGTATTACAGGTCCTGTGGAACAGCTTTTCAAAATTAAGTTTGAAGTACACTACTAGTAAGCTTGGTGTTTTGGGTCACCTAGGACTCTCTTACTTATATCATCCAGAGATAAAGTGAGCAATATGTCAAATTAACTTGCTCAATTTTCTTTCCTCAACTTTTTCAATGCCCTTTAGGAAAACCATTACTGAGAAGCTACTGTTGGCATTTACAACATAAGACCTGATTTTGGAAGGCTGATATTGCAATAGCTTAAATACCACAAAATTGAAAACTGTACAGTATCAGATGTTTCAACATCCTAAAAGGAAAATGAGTTTTTGGGGGAGCCATTTTGGGTTGAAAAGGGGGGCGGGGGAGGAGCTTCAGAATAGTTTTAATGGTTGACTTAAAAACTTGTTGAAATTGCTGACTGAAAAATTAACAATTTAATATTTTTATGTATTATCTTTCATATATTAAATGTGGCAGTTATAAGAAAATAGACCCTAACATATTATATTAATCTCATTGAAGCAGAGACTTCTATTTAAATAAAACA